CCAATGCACATTACTTAGAGATTTTTGTAGGTGTAGCATGTCATGTAGCCTTCGGCCACTGTGGAGCCCCACCTGTAATATTGAATAGGCCGGGGGCTAATTCTTTTAGGACTTAGAAGATTTTCTTGAGTGTTGATTCCTTGTGAACTGTAGCCCTCGATTGATAGGTAGCCTTCGGCAATTAGGTCCCTTGAGATGAGGGTGAAATATGTAGGACTTAGAAAATCTTCTAAGTGTAGAGTTTCCCTCGAGAGCCTTCGGGAGGTGGCCTACCTCCATGATGTATGAGTAGCTGACCGGGGGGAAAGCATGTAGGACTTAGAAAATATTCAAAGTGTAAAGTCTCCCTTGGGAGCCTTCGGGAGATGGCATCCCTTCTTGATGTATGAGTAGTTGACCGGGGGGAAAGCATGTAGGACTTAGAAAATATTCTAAGTGTGAATTTTTCCTTGGGTGCCTTCGGGCGATAGGTGCCCTCTGATTCCACATCACTTTGCAAGATGCCCGGGGGCTACTCGTTTAGGACAGAACACCTCCTTTTTTTTAAGTGTTGTTGTATTGCATGGCCTTCGGCCACCATATTCCCTTGGCTGTAATGTTGATTGGGCCGGGGGCCCAATCTTTAGGACTTAGAATTCTTTCAAGTGCTGCTTCCCTGTGTAGCCTTCGGGTGCCCGGGGGCTGCTCCTTCAGGACTTAGAATTTTTCTAAGCATAAATTGATGTTGAATCCTGTTGTTGTGAAGAAAGCCGATGAGGAGTGTGTGCCCTCGGCATACACTTTAAAAGTTGTAGAATTTGACCCTTGTCATGGGGAAAGAGCCCTCGGTATTTGTGCATAACAGATGCCTTCGGTGTTTGTTTGAAGTACCGTTTAGTGGACCTTGGGTAGTCTAGTCCCTTTGTATTGTTGAAGCCTTCGGTGTCTTTGTGACCGGAGGTGACCAGGTAGTGGACTTAGCCGTTTCCTGATGATATTTCCTTGAGTAGTATCCTTCGGGAAATAGGAGTATTCAATTGCCGGAGGTGTTCCCGTGGGGAGCCCTCGGCATGTTGTGATTTTGTTGGAGTGTACTCTTTGATTTCTCGCTGAGTCTACTCCCCTTCACCCCTTTTTTTTTTTTTTGGTTGGTGGTGAAGGGAAGGCATCAAGAAACTTGGTTTCTTGGTAAGGCTGGGCCTATTAGGAGACCATCAGAATACACCAATGGCTCTCCTCCCTCGGGTTAACCTTCCGAGTGCCGAGGGATCGAGGGACATTTCCTGGGCACAAGACATGGTGGTCCGTAACCTGCCTCCCCTTGGGGGATGGCGCGGAAAGCGCCTCATTTTTGAAAGTCGTCCCCTCGGCGCTAGACATAGTCTGTGGCCTGCCACACCCTTGGGGTGTTGGCGCGGGGAGCGTTTCGGTTTGGAACTCGAATCCTGGGCATTTCTCATGCCTGTCATACCCTGGGGGTAATGACGCGGATAGCGTTCCGTTTTTGAAAGTCGAATCCTGGGCATTTCTCATGCCTGTCATACCCTGGGGGTAGTGACGCGGAAAGCGTTTCAAGGAATGGTTTTCATTTGCACACTAGTTGCAAATGACCGGGGGCACTACGTGCCGCCGGCACCGATGGTGGCGCCTTCGGTATATGCGTCCTCGTGGGGTACGGCTTTTAGAAACAACACTTGGTGTTAGTTTCGATGTGTATCCCCCGGTACTTGGTACCGAGGGGTCTTCTGTAGGAACACTTGGTGTTCTCTTGTTGTAGTTGATGTAGGCGTCTACCCTCGGTACTTGGTACCGAAGGGTCTTCAAATGAAACACTTGGTGTTTCCCAATAGATGTTTGGAAGCTGTTAGGAGAGCATATCCCTGGCACTGGGTGCCGGAGTCTTCTGTAGGAACACTTGGTGTTCTAATCTTTTCTTTTTTGATGTTGAAGGTGGGGAAGTACCCTCGGCACTGGGTGCCGAGGGGTCTTGACTGAAAACACGTGGTGTTTCTACTGTTTGTTGTAGGTGTTGATGGTGTCCGCCTTCGGCACTGGGTACCGGAGGAGGTTCTTCTTGTGGTGAGGCCTGGGGCCTGTAGTCAGTATGAGGGCTTGATGTCTTGAAAGTATCTTCATTCTTCGAAATTGGAGGCCTTGGGCCATTGGATAGTACATTCACTAGTTATGAGGGCTTGGTCGCTTTTACATTATTGATAAAATTTAACTAAATGATGTACATTCCAGTGCCTAGGGACCTCTTTCCCGTTGGGGCGTTTGAGTTTGTAAGTCCCGGATTTGATGATGGCTGCTATGATGTAGGGGCCTTCGAATTTTGGTGCCATTTTTCCTCCCTCGGTTGGTTGGCTGGCTTCCCTCCTCCGGAGGACATAGTCCCCCACTTGAAATTCCCGGGTTCGAACTTTGGCGTCGATGTAGCTTTTAACTTGCCTTAGAGAGAAGGGTTGAAGTCATGTGCATTGGGCCAGAGCACCAAATGATGGATAGTCTACCCGGGGGTATATATCCGAAGGGTTACTACGGGGAATAACTTAGAGAGAAGTCAGAGCAAGTAAATATAGAGAGAGAGAGTGTATTATAAATGTGGAGCGTTTTCAGCGTGGTTACAAATGGGGAAACGGGGTGCTATTTATAGTAGCAATAAATGCCGGGCAGGGACACGTGTCAAGCGCTTATTGGCCGAGGGGTCACCTCAACTGGTTGGCGCTGGCAGCCGCATGTGGCCGCATTTAATGCGGCTGTTGGATGGGACGTCTGTGCGGGGTACGGTGATCTGTACGCATGTGAGGCAGATATCTTGTCGAGTGAGGTGCCTTCGGCTATAGAGCAGTAACCGAGGGCTCTCCCACCCGATGGCACCCTGGTGCCGAGGGCTCACAATGCCGAGGGCTACTGTTTTCGCCGTTTTCTCCCAGTTTCCTAATTTGCTTGAGAAACCCGCTCTGTGATAATTTGGAGCCTTCGGCCAGGGGACCGAAGGCACCCCTGTGCGTTGTGCGGACTGCTTCGTACTCTGGGCGCTGTGATTCAGGCCTGTTGGGCCTGTTGGGCCTTTGATGGAGTAGTAGGAGTCTGTGGGCCGGAGGTTCCCGGGCCATATACTCCATCAACATCAATATTTGAATTTGAGTAAAAAAACACAATGTCTTGCAAAATCAACTAACATCATTCGTTGGTCAACTTTCTGAAACAGGGGTGTTTAGAAAGTCCTTTTTTGTGGTAATGTAAAAGAATTCCAGTATATGTTTACCATTGCAAATATGCTAGCAATTCATAAAGACCTAAAATAATCTTTAAAAAACTCTTAAAAGGACACCATGTGGTTACTAAGAAATCATAAATACAGAATGCAAGAATATGAGGGTATTTCAAAAGGACACCAGGGAGATAACAATAGATGGTATTGGGCTCATTTAATATTGGCCTTCTTATTAATATCTATGAAATTACTATGAATTTCCGTGAATAAGTATTTCGTCAAAACGGTAGCTGTTTACCTTTGTAAATACTCCCTCCGTCCCGGTCATTTCTTCCAATTTTCCTTTTTGGACCGTCCCAATTAATTCTTCCAACTTCCACTTTTGGAAAAAATATGTGGTTCACATTCATTCACTTTTTTCTTACACAACTACAACCATACATTTCCACTTTATTCTCACTATCTAAATTTGCGAGCCAGGTCAATTTAGGAAGAACTCATCGGGACGGAGGTAGTAACATATACTCCGTAAATTTTTGTACAGGGTGATTGAATGATGCAACAATTACGCGGCACAGTTGGAAATGTAAGAGTCAAAAATCAAATAAGCATACACCAGCTTAAATTCAACAGAAAGTAGATAATACGAGTATTAAAATGAAGTTGTACAAATGTATATAACATTATATCCGTGTGTGTATGTGTATATATACACGAGTATATGAAAACATTTTGCAAATTCTTCAATATTTAAATCCCTGTATATTTCTTATCAATGCATGAAATGACATGTAAGTTTTTCATTCTATGAAAGATGCATATACACTTGGCATGCACAATACATTTGGCAATTTACTCTATATGCTCTTGGCAAATGGCAGCAACAATAAGTTATAAGAGTCATTGCACTGACAGATAAGTGAAACTGAAAAATGGGCATTCGGGTATATCATTTTGTTTTGGTGCAAAATGTGAAAATAGATTGGATAAGCAGCACATCAAACCAAACTGACCGCCAATTTTTAAACAAAAGAAACATATCACAAGTGTTCAAAATCAAATGTGATAGACATGGAATTTGATAACAGTCCACAAAATAAAAACTGGAGGAAGCATATAATGTTAGGCATATACCCAAATCACTAGAGGTTAGTATTCACGGTCTTAGGTCCTTCAGTTATCCCTCAACCACGGTAGAAATCCAACGATAGGATAAGTAGCATGTGACAACAAATTGTAATGTTTTGTAGAACTTAGTCATGAATTCAATCTTTAAAGTGTATCCAGTACAAAGCACATTTCAGAATAAATTTGTTTGATTTGTTTATTGTTAAAAAGTTCATGAAAAAAAATTGGTTTCACACATTTTAAGAATAAAAGCTTTAGTATTATGCTTTAAGTAGTTTAAGCAGTTCAATTTACAAGCTATGCTCTAATCCAGAAATTTACATGTCATTTTCAGTTTATTTTATTTCAAGTAAAAACTTTTCAGATATAAAAGGTGTAGCATTACCCCTTTTAAAATAAATTCAGCTATTGTGGCCTTTTAAAAATATATATGTAGTTAAAAATAATCGAAATCAGTTTTAAATTAATCTTTTTGAAATGTGTAACAGTTATGTAACTCGGAGTTTACAGACCATTCCAATTAATTAAAATAAATCTTATAAGAGTTAACTAAAATAAAAAAAACGTGTTTTTATCTAAGGCTTAAAAGAAGACCTCATATATCACAAAATAGATTCAGGCATATAGGTTTAATCAAGTAAAAAAATAGACATGGTCCGAGTTCCATTGAATTTACCTCAACCATCGTATTCATTTGACTGTTCGAATAAGCAAACATCGGACGCCGATGCCATTGACCTTGGGTAAACGACGATTACGGGCGAATAAGCGACGATGGTACGTTTGAACAACGCGATGATGAGCGACAGAACAAAAGACTAACAAATGAATGAAGCAAACATAGTGAAAATAGAGGCAATCGGAAGAACCGAATGGGTTGAAGGCAAGGTACGGATAAATGAGGAGGTTGATGGGGGAAGCAGAGTTTGAATATGGTGTGTTAGGTTTTGGTTATTGGGCCGGATATATGCATTATTGGACTGGACTAATTAAAAGTTAATTTATTGAAATGATGGTATTTTGATTTCATAACTGAATTGGGTTGTTTGAACTTCGAAATAGATTACGCCATCGAGAAATAACCCCTTGGCCTCCGAAGAATGAGAATGGTTGGTTATGTATTACGGAGTATTATTATTATGATTATCATTATATTATTATTATTATTATTGTTAAAATTAGATTATTATTATTACTATTATTATTAGGGGGTCTGTAAATATTTCTAATAAAATGTAACTTAATAATTATTAGTGATTATAATTGTGTTCAATGTTTACATCACAGTAACTTACATTTAGGTACAACGATGTTGTTACTAAGTAAGAATGTTTTCTTTTGGATATTTTTCAGTCCCAAACTTGAGCAGACTTAAACAGATCAGACGAGACCAGACTTGGACAGTTATTAAATACACACAGATCAGATATTTATCATATCAAACCAGACAAGAACTTACATCTATACTCTTTATGCATTCATGTACGCATTAATTAATAATGCTTACAAATAATATGCTATAGTTATTACGTAATCTATGTTCCGTGCATCGCATGAGTGAGAATATGCGGTCATGAAGTTGTCATTCCAAGGTTAAGCTTAACTCCTTCAAATTCAAGAATACCGTTCAAGTTTCAGATAAGGCAATTTCCGGTTATGATCTCTTATGTCATGACTATAAATAAGAATAAAGGTCAATCTTTGAAACATGTTGGACTTCTATTTAAAAAGTCGGTGTTTATGCATGGTCAACTATACGTTGAAGTATCAAGAGTAACAAAGCATAAGGGTTTGAAAATATTGATTTGCAGTGAAGAGGGCGAACAAACCGACCATATTGCAAATGTTGTTTACAAAGAAGTTTTTCGAAATTTGTAGATTTTAGAAATCTCATTGTAATACTTCGTATTTCTTTATTTCTACTTACTTCAAAACTTGCTTATTACAATTGCATAAGTTTTAACTATCATTTCGTTAATGATAATTTATTATGTATATGACAATTTGCATACATTGATACTTGAATTAATAATTAATAATATACACAAATATGATAATACAACGTTTACATAATTTTTGCCCGTGCAACGCACGGGTGAGAATCTAGTTCTAAAACAATGTAAGGATCCTAATATGGATGAAAAGAGTTTTCCCTTCCAAGAAAACTTTTCTCCCATTAAATAGTGATAATGTGAAAGGAAAACGGTGAAGATAAAATTTAATTTGGTAAGCAATCTTTTCTTTCAATCGTTATGTGTATATTTATATAATAATTAAGTAATAAATCTATAATAAGTTTTGTCTCTAATATTTGTACATCAAGTGTGATCTATATATAATACCAGTCACCCAAAAGAAAGATGTTAAAATTCTAAGCGAGTAACAAATTATCCTCCCATGTAGGATTTTGGTTTTTAACTCTCTCAATCTATATGTTAAATAATATTTATATAACAAAATTTAACAAAGTGACTACAAATATTGACTAGAAAATTCCCGCTTAAAATAAAGTTAAATTACGTATGATTATATCTCAAGTTAAGTAATTAACTTTTTGGTAAGTTTTTCTCAACATTGTCAAACATAATGTCCAGTTGTGGACACTATATTATTGAGAAAAACTTACCAAAAACTAATAAGAACACTAAAGAATGAGAGAGAAATGCCACACATGTTTTTTCGTGTGTCTATCTCTCTCATGTCACATATCCACATTTTATGCATCCACTAAAAATAACCCCTTCCGTCCCATAACATTCTTCCCGATTTGACCTAGATAGGAGTTTAAGAAAGTGAGAATAAAGTGAAATGTGTGGTTGTGTTTAAGTAAGAAAAAAAGAAATGAATGTTAGCCGAACAAAGCTCTCCAAAAAGGGAAATAGGAAGAATTTTTTGGGACATCCCAAAAAGGCAAGTGAGAAAATTTTCATGAGACGGAGATAGTATATTACCTCAATTCTGGTGGACTTTGCGAACTTGGAAATATGTGAGAAATAAGAAAACAATTCTGAGATTGAGGTTTTTCACAGGAGAGAGAAGCAAATTGAACCACAAATTCATTGTTTAAAAGGAAATTTACAAAGTTTTTGAGACAAACAAAAAAGAAAAATTGACAAGATTGAGTAAGACGAAGAGCATTTAATTTAGGAGAAAATTTCCAAAATCGGACTAAACATGTTTTGGAATTTCAGAATAGGATTGCTATGTTATTCTTTCCGAAATAGGAGTATATACTATCATCTTCGAGTGAGTACTGTCAAAATATTTACAATATTAGGCATTGACATTACATTATTTACTGCCATTAATGACAGTATTTCTTATACATCCAAAATAATATTTCTTATTATCTTTATTTTTATAAAAGAACAAGATGAAATCCAAAAGAGTAATGAGGTTTTATCTTAAACATCCATTACTATTAAAATAAAAGATAATGTATAATAATAACTCTATGTGACAATGAAATAAGTATAACTTGATAGTACAATTATTAGTGTGTAATTTAAGCAAAAACACGTCTTTGGAGACACTACTTTAACTTTTTAAATAAAAAATTATTTTCCGATGATGATATAAATTCCACGACTTAAAACCTCAATGCTAAAAAGTAAATACCACAACCCTTAGCAATGAGAGTAACATTTTCAATATAAAACACACGAAATATCCGTGCGATGCACGATGTATATCTAGACTTGGATAATAACTTATTTAAAGTTATAGTTTACAATGGTATGTAATGTGTAATTTTGCCAAATAAAAAAGGCGATAGAGCTTATGTGTTGTAATTTTTATTAATTATATACATAGTAGTAGCCGTAAGAAAATGCAAATTTGGATCATATAAAAAATTGCAAGTAACATTAAAATAAAGTATAACAATAACTCTATGTGACAATATATTAACTTGATAGTATAATAAGTGTGTCTCATGAAACTTTTTGTTGTTGTACTTTCTTTATAGACATCATCTACGTATTTTAAAGTTTGTTACACTTTTCTTTTTAGAATGTTTTTAAAAGTTTGCTACACTTTCCTTTTTAGTAAGTTTTCTCTTAAAATACTGAATTACCCTTACTTTTTATATTTTTGATCTTCTATTTCATACACTAACACAACCTTTCTTACTTTTTCTACACTATTCATTACTCCTACAACTTTCCTCCTTAAATAATGTCCCAAAGTCATATGTAGCTATCTTTAAAATACGAAGAGAGTATTCATTGCTGCCAACCGCTAATATTGCATCTGGTAGCGAATTATCGGTCACTGATTTGTACAACATAAGACATTAGCATTTAACAAAACATATACTATACATACAAGAAATACAACAAATAAGTTTAATGAGGCCCACTAATAGTTGTACTATCAAGTTATTTTACTGTCACATAGAGTTATTGGTTATACCTTATCATTTTTTTAGAGTACCTTATCGTTTATTTTAGTTTTATATGATGGTACATAATGTGTAAAATTCAATTAAAAATAAAAAGTGTATACTACATATATAATTAATAAACGTAACAACACATAAACTTTATCATCTTTTTTTACTTGAATTTTCATTTGACTTTTTAATTTTACTTGAATTTTTTTACGATCCAATTTTTCATTATAGTACAACTACTATGTATATAATTAATTAATGTAACAACACATAATCGCTATCTTATTTTTTTATTTGACAAAATTTCACATTATGTACCATCATATAAAACATAATTGTAATTAAGTCATTATTCAATTCTAGATATATCCCGTGCATCGCACGGGTACTTCGTCTAGTCTATTATAATATAAAAGCAAAAGAAAACTTGCACAAGAAGTTCCCGCCCAAAGTTAGAAAATTCTAGAGTCATGATGTAGTTTCACGGGTTAGCACTATATTTAGTTTACAAATTTCAAAATCCAGCAAAATATGTTGTAATACAATTAGATTGCAAAGGAAGTATTCCGATTGGGTGGTGTATGATTTCCCAAGCCAGCAATTAATGTTTGGCTTCTCCATGCTGAGTCTTCCGAGTTCCAATATCCGATACATTGGGTTGCCCTTTACATAATAACATAAATGCCATAAGTGATTCACCTCTGCTTTTGTTTCCAAATATTAAAAGAAACAACATAATTAATGTTTTGTGGCTCAAAGGCAGAACATCCTTTGTGGAGCATGCAACTCTCTATATAAATAGTCCAGTGCAAGCAAGTCGTTCCATTGCAATCGCTCAACCATCTTTTCTTTTCAACAATAAAAGCAACACGATGTTTGGCATGAAGGGCATCAATAAATGGAAATGGATTTGGTCATTTGGACGCACCGTCCTGTGTATTCAAACAAAAGGCTTCTATAGAGTGTATATGCGATGGCTACAAGTCCTTTTATTGTTTTCTCATATTTTATGAAATCTTTATTTTCCTAATGAGTCTATTACTGTGTTTAGGGCATTAAGGTTTCTGCCATACAATGAAGAACCAAATGATCGAGTGGGAGAGCAGAAACTACGAATAAGGTATTTCTTGGGACAAATCAACCAGGTTTGCTCCATTTTTTTTGTATAGTTACTACACCAACAAATCAGGCTGATTTGTTAAAAAAATTATACCTCTAGACTCCAGTTTTAGCAAAAGTTTACAAATGTAAATTTGGTTAGTAGTTGTTAGTAACATGAAAAAGAATGATGTATTAAAGATATATTTTGAAGAATCAAGGCATTTTGAAAACAAAAATGTGAAAGTATTGAAAACCGATAAATGATCATTTGCTAAAATTCATTGTTCGTATTAACTTGATGATGAAAATGGGGCGAAACAATAATACTTGGAATTCCTAATCTCACTGTAAAATACTTGAGGAAAAGGGAATTTTTTATCTTGATCAAGTCTTTCATGCATCAAAAGGATCTTAAGAACAAATGAAAAGAAATCAGAACTTTAGAGTCTAGATTATACTTCAGATT